TTTTTAGTTGAGACGGGGTTTCACTGTGTTAGCCAGGATAGTCTCGATCTCCTGACCTCGTGATCCGCCCATCTCAGCCTCCCAAACTGCTGGGATTACAGGCGTGAGCCACTGCGCCTGGCCTATCGTTTCTTTTAGAGAGGAACCCTAAGGGTTTCTATTTTGTTTTGTGGGTAAATTCTAGCAGCCTACACCTCTAAGTGCTGGAGAGGAGAGGGGAATAGTGGTGGTGCTGGGGAATGTAGACTGATAACAGCTTGTCCCATGTGAACCTGTAGCTTGATCCTTTTTCAGCCCCGTTTCTCACTCCTACCATTCCAGCTTGATTCTAAGTAGTTACTGTCCTAGTGAATAGCTTCCACCTCCTTTGTGGCCCTCTTATGGTTTTATTGGCTTCTTATGTTTTTCCATCAACCTGTTCCTATCTACCATCTGTCATCTAGAACAGACGTTTTGAGATGTCAAATGTTTTGAGCTGCTGGCTACTTGTTTTTGTAAATAAAGTTTTATTGGCACACCCATGCTCATTTGTTTGCATATTGTCTGTCTGGAGCTGCTTTTGTGCTACATTGGCATAGTTGAGCAGTTGAAACAGAAGACAGCAGAGCTAAATAGTTGCCACAGAGACGGTGTGATATGCAAAGCCTAAACTATCTACTCTTGGGTCCTTTACAGGAAAAATTTGCCCATCTCTGGTCTAGAAATGTTTTGACATTTTTCATTTTCTTGTGCTCAAACCTACCAGCCTCACCTTCTCACCCTCTTCATAGATAAGTAATTAATTCATTGTAATGTTCTCTTTTAATTCAGTAAGATCTGAGGAGGCATATAAGCCTCCTCAAGCCTCCAAATGTCTACTGTCTGCCTGTTCTGTCCTCTTGAACTGGAAAGACAGAGTCCTCATTCTTATACTCTGGAATATACTGATGGTCTGCTTATTGATTATTGTCTTCCATGTATGACCTTTTGAGGTGCAACAGCCAGGACTGTGTGTAATTCCTTGTTCCTTAATACAAGGCCAAGTATACAGTAAGCCTTCACAACATGTTTGTTGAATGAATAAATTAATATCCTTATGTTTGAATTTTCTTTTCAAGGTGGTGAGGAACAGCTATTTTTTTTTCTTCTGAATACACATGTAAAATTCCTTTACCTATTAATAATTCATTTTTATATCCTTTTTCAAGATTAGGTGTATAAACAATGGTTAATGTTATCGGGAATGGAGAGGACCTCGTGTTCGAGAGGCATGCCAGCCTACTGATTTGCATTCTACCTCTTTCTACTTTTTCATGTTTGTTTTTTTTTTAACTGAGTAATGCAATGTATTATTTTTTTCTTCACAACGTTGCATTATTTTATATGTTAACAAGTTGTGGCTTAAGTAACCATATGTTTTGTAGCTGAGGAACTACCTGCATAATGATCCAGAGTGTTTTAGGAACAGTATATTTCAAATATTTTTCAAATGTGATTTTTCAAGAAAATGTCTGACTGTGTGAAATGATTGCAAAGGATGATTGTGAAACAGAAGAATTTTAAAATAGGAATAAGAATAAAATCTTAGTTGAGTAGTTTTTACTGTGTTTTGATGTATATTTTTGTTTGTGTTTCTCTTCTCGACCATCTGACTATTATTTAAAATCATTTCCCACATAAATTAAGAACGACGTACTAAGTTCTTAAAGAAATGATTTTGATAGTAGACATTTCCATTGGAGTACATTTGTCATTTCTTGTACTGCAGTGAATGTGTTTTCTCTTGAGTCATGGTGTCTTTAATAGTACCAATTTAAAATGATAGCAGTACGTGAAGTAGAGTCAGCACCTGAATTATTGGCTTATTTGGAAATTAAGTAAATGGCCTCTTTTAAGATCTTCTGCAGAAGAAAGTATAGAGCATTTTTAATAGATATGTTTCTTTTCCTATTATTTCCCATAAAAAAGAAACAGAATTGGAGACTTGTAGTTATTTGTTATTTGATTCATCCCATCTCTCTTGAACTCTTCCAATACATTAGCAAGTTTGTAAATGCAGAAGTTTAATTTATTGTGGTTTTTTTTTCTGTGACTATATCTGATTATATATTTAGAGGAAATGGAATGAGATATTGGCATCTTCCAAAAGAAGGAATGAGAAAGATATGTTCTTTTCACCTTGTGGATATTGAGCTCTTGAATGATACAGTGATAAAGAAATGTTCTTGGCCTCTGACCCAAGATTTCACAGGGCTAGGATTCAGGAGAATGGGCAGTACCTTGTGTGTATCATTTTTCCTCTTGCTTTTCTACTTTTGCTATATATGTATAAGCTTATGAAAAATAAATATTTTCTTAAATATATTGTATTTTACTCTATTAAGCTTACACATTTTCAAAGAAATTATTTTAAATTGAAACTCCTAGAAAAGAGAATCAATGTTGTTTGTACAGTATCATTTGTAGAAGAGTGTAGGAGTTCCATAAAAATCTGGGAAACAGTAAAATGTAGTCAGTGGAAAATATCATTGTAGTATTTACATTAGTACTCTTCAGTATAATTTTCCAAGATGATAGAACTATTCGTAATCTGTGCTGTCCCATACAATAGCCATTAGCCACATGAAACTACTGAGTACTTGAGACATGGCTACTGTGAAGGAGTGCAATGTTTCTTTATATTTAAATATTTTAGTACAGTAATTTTATTGTCCTTTTGTAATTATAGACTAACATTTTAATTTTGTTCTACTTAATTTTTGATTCTTTTTTCTTTCCAGGAAAATATATGCAGATGATGAACATTCTTAAGCCAATTGCCTTTGATGTTATTCATTTCATGTCTCAACTATTTGATTATTACTTGTATGCAATATATACCTTTTTTGGTCGGAATGATTCAGTAAGTCCACCTTTAGAGGGAAAAAATTTTTCTTCTAAAATTTATTTTATAAATGTCAAAGTTTTTTGTTCTCTTTGTAGAAGATACACAAATAACATTATTTTGGGGAATGCATAAAAAACAAAATTATTGATACCAGCTTTCTGTCTGCCTTATTGCCTTACTTTTATATTAATTTTAAGCTTTCGTATGCTAAACACATTCAACTTTTTGGAAGAAAAAGTGCAATGTCTGTTTCTAACTTTGACATGTTTTGGCAATGAAAAATGTACAGATTGCTTTATTTAAATCTGGCTCCATGTAAAATACAAAACAGTAAATGAGACATTTTAAATATTGGCTAACAACCTTAGCAGTCACTAGTACATCTAAAAGATAATGAAAAATATTTATTAAAATAATTGAAAATCTGAACTGAGCCATCTACCTGCCATAGAATTAATGTTTTTCTGCACCTCCTTTTTGCGTTTCCAAAACTGTTATCGAGTATATCTTTTTCTACTACTTACAGAAAATAACACAATATTAGGCAAGTAACTAATTTGATACTTTAAAATTAATTATGTGATTTGCATAGATGTTTGACAGTTTTCTGTGTAAAAACATTCCATTGAGTCCTATGAATATAATACTAGTTATATTTCACATCTTTTTAAAAATGTAAATTTCAATGTATAACTACATTCATTATATAAATATTTATATCCTTGCTGTGATCACAAGTATGTCAAAGACATAATCATTTTATATAGGACCCGAATTTCTGGGGTTCTTAATTCTGAAAAATATTTCTTAGAATGCTAATATGACCAGTGACAAAATGTTGCTGCAGAATTTATATACTATAAAGTATGTATTAATTCATCACCCTGAATTTGGAAACTCACTAAATATTAATCAAGGAAGACCTTGTAGAGTTTTAGCTAATTGTCAGAATGTTTTAGTCTTGTAGGTGAGCCTTACTTTGTCTTTTGGGCCATGCCTCTAGACCAGTCCTGTCTAAGAAATTTCATAATAGTAGAAACATTCTGTATTAGCAATGTCCGGTATGGCAACCACTAGCCACACATGGCTGTTGAGCACTTGAAATATGTATGACTAGTGACTTAGGAACTGAATTCTTAATTGTGTCTAATTTTAGTTAGTTTACCTTTAAATATAAATAGCCACATGTGACTACTATCATATGGGACAGAACAGTTCCAGAACACATTATTGATAAGGTGTGTTAAAATAAGATCTTTCTGAAACTTTTGGGAACCAAATGGTTTTGGATGTGATTTCCCAGCTGATTATATACTGACACAGAATTTTTTCAGAATGGCATTCTCTAGTACCCCAGAAATTTAGCAAAGTATAGTTACTTATTGTAAAATATATTGCATATTTGATTTAAGATTTGTTATGAACACAGTATTCTGATATTTTACATTTAAACCATTTTTAATTCTGTAAGACTCAGTAAGAGCTATTTAATTATACTGAAACAAAGAAAATCTATACATAAATAGCACAAATAAGCACATGCATGTGTATAATATTGAAGTGGTAGTTTTTAATTTCCTAAGAGAATAAGCTTTTCAGGCCCATTAGAAATCATAGAAGTTTTCATACTCATAAAAATAAATAAATACTCCAAATTTACCCTATTAAGTGTTGAATCTTAGTGGCACCAGGGGAGGGGGAATCAGGTAATGTGTAGAATGGGAAGAACAGGTTATATGGTTGTATCTGCTTCTCTGTCAAAAGAAAGGGACTTGTGTGAGAGAATTTAGATGGATGCTTCTTGTGGAAAAATAAGCATCTTTTTCTCAGGGGTTCTGGCTTCTAGAAATCATTGGTTGGGGACACAGTACATACATTAGTCCAAAGGATTCCTCCTATTAATACTATTTCCTCCAGAAACTCCTGCTATTAACTGAACTGGTTATTACCTACTTCCTCATGCTCTATTTTATATCTGATCCATTGGATTCTATTATAATAATGTTATTCATAGTATTGCTTTATCTTGCCTTGTCCCCAGCTTTCCATTGTTCACCTCTTAAGTTATGTTTTCTTTGGTCTTTCTGGTTCACATTTTTTTGTGAAGACCATCTGTAATTTACTTAAAACAGTAGTAAACACATAGTAGACACTCATGGTGTATGGATTGATCTTCTAATTATTTGCCATTCCAATAAATCTTATGAACATTCTTATTTGACAACAGTTTGTGAGCCTCGTTTAAGGTTACCTTTCATTAGTAAAACTGTTTCTTTGTAGAGAGCCTATAAATAGGTATCTGTATATTTAAGAAATGAATTAACTTCCAATTCCAGGTATGACAGACTAAAACCTTTCTAGATAATATTTCCTGCAGAAAACAACTATAAAATCTGAATGTTATAGAAAAGGCAACTATTTGAAGACACTGGAGAGTAAACAGAAGCAGCAAATAGACTCTGGTGAGGGGTCCATGCTAGTCTGCAGATGGGAGAAAGGGGAGCTATGAAAATAAATTTTATCCCCGTGGCTTTTTAGCTCAGGGCTAAGTGCAGTCCATGTGGCCCACGGGTAGAGACAAGCACAGGAAGACCTGAAGTTTTTATGGACTGGAGAATCAGAAAAGTGGAGCCAGAAAACTGGAAACACTAAAAATAGTAGAGGAGGCTCAAAAGAAAAAAATCCAGAGAGGGGATTTCCAAATTCAGTCCACCTATATCTCAGACTGTGAAATATGTGATTCCATGATCCATGATTATATGGAACAAACTGACTGCAGCTCAGTGAAAGAAAAAAAATATAAACAGAGACCAAAGCTGCTGCACAAGAGACAGTTTATAGTTAAAGCCCAGCCAAGAAACTTATGTACTGAAAACAAAGGAAATGATGTTTATGGGAGAAAAATGACAGTATCCAGAATCTCCAGAATGAAATCGGTGATGTAATCTAACTTTATGTAACAGACACAGCACCAAATCAATCTAGTTTAAGATACTGGAACCAAGGGATAAGGATTTTAAATGGGCTTTTATCACTGTCTTCAATGAATTAAAACAAAATATATTTTAAATGCTTGAACATCTCAGCAGAGAAATAGTAAATTCTGGTAGTGACAATAATAAAAAAAAAAGGAAACCCTAGAAATGAAAAATATAATTTCAAAAACAACAAAAAAGTTTACTCTATATACTTAATAGCCAAATGGACATGACAGAAGAAAGAATATGTGAACATAAAGATAATCAAAATTATTCAAAGTGAAGAGCGTAAAAAAGGATTAAAAGGAAAAAAATCTCACAGACGTTTGATTATATCACATGGTAAAACATACATGTGATTGGAATACTAGATGGAGAAGAAGAGAGAGAGAATGAGTCAGAAAAAATATTTGAAAAAACATTGGCCAAAATTTTGCAGCTACAAGGTGCTAAATGAACAGCGAGAAGAGGAAGCATAAAGAAATGTACAGCGGAGTACCTATGATGAAAATTTTTCTTGAAAAACATAGTAGATATATTATATAAAAGGGACCAATAATCTGATTAACAGCTGACTTCCCATTAAAAGGCTATGGGGGCTTTTTGTACCTTGAAGGTACAAAAGAAAAAGAAATACTGTCTATTCAGAATTTTATATCCAGTAAAAACATCATTTGAGAATGAAAGTGAAATTAAGATACTTTTAGATTAAAAGAACAAAAAACTAAGAGAATTTGTCACAAGGGACATATAAAAATTCCTAAGGGAAGTTAATGAGACTGAAGGGGAATGATAACACATGAAAACCTAGATCCTCAGAAAAGAGTGAAGAGCATTGGTAATGGAATCTACCTGTGGAAATTCAAAGATAATTTTTTCTTTTTCCACTTACTTTCTTTATAAACCACAGGGCTGTTTAACAGTGAAATCATAGCATAGTCTTCCTGGAGTTCATAATACATGTAAATGTATTACATTTAAAAACTATAACAAAGTATGTGGGGAGGGTGTGGACGTATAAGATTGCAAGATTTCTGTATATTAGTAAAGCAGTGATGAATATCGTAATCCATAGGACAACCATGAAACATAATACAAATAACTTTAACTCTTTAGCTAACAGGAATATTAAAGTAGAAATCTAAAAACATATTTATATAATTACAAAAGGCAGGAAAGGAAGAACCAAGGAGGGAAAATAGAGATAAAATATAACAGTAGGTGCAAACTCAACTAATCATTGCATTAGATGATAATGGACTAAACTCTCAAATGGCAGAGATTGTCAGAATGGATTAAAAACAAAGTCCACACTAAAAAAACAAAAAGACGTACTTTAAATATAAAAAAGAGGCTGGACAGGGTGGTTCAGACTTGTAATCCCAGCACTTTGGGAGGCTGAGGTGGGAGGATTGCTTGAGCCCAGAAGTTCGAGACCAGACTGGAAAATTTGGTGAAACCCAGTCTCTACTAAAAAGACAAAAATTAGCCAAATGTGATGGCTTGCACGTGTAGTCCCAGTTACTCAGGATGCTGAGGCAGGAGGATTGCTTGAGCCCTGGAGGTCGAGGCTGCAGCTGTGATCACACCACTACACTCCAGCCTGGGGACAGAGCGAGACCCTGTCTCCAGAAAAAAAACAACCAACCAAACAAAAGAAAAACCCAAACAATTGTGCTGGAGATCCTAGCCTTTGTCATAAGATAAGAAATATAAGGCATATGGATTGGAAAAGAAGTTAAGTTGTCCTTAATTGCAGATGGCATGTCAAACCCTAAGGAATCCACAAATAAGCTTCTAGAACTAATAAATAATTTAGCAAACTGCTAGAATATAAAGTCAGTATACAGAAATCAATAATCCAGTTTGAAAATGAAAAAAATTTTTAAAAAGCTTTACTTACAGTAACATCAAAATTTTTTAAGAAATTTAACAGATAACTTGATAGGTTTGTACACTGAAAATATTAAATCATTAGAAAGGGAATTAAAGGCTATGTAAATAAATAATGAGATACACCATGTGCATATATTAGAAAACTCAGTGTTGTAAAGGTGGCAGTCTTCCCCAAATCTATAGGTTCAGTACAATCCCAATCAAAACTATAACAAGGTTTTTTTTTTTTCAAGAAATTTAGAAGTTTATTTTAAAATTGATACAAAAAGCCAAAGATTCATAATGGCCAAAACATTTTTGAAGAACAGAGTTAGAGGATTTTTATACCTGACTTCACAAAGACTTAATCCAGAGCTACAGTAGTTGATAAAGTATGGTACTGGCCTAACAGTAGATCAGTGCAACAGAAGTAGACACACTTACATGGTCAATTGATTTTTGAAAACGGCACTAAGGTAGTTCATTAGAGAAAATAGTTTTTTTAGCAAATGGTGTGGGTACACTTGGATATAAGTATGAAAAGAAAAAAAAAGCCTCAATCCCCCTTCTTCATACCATACACAAGAATATAAATAAACATTGTTTATAAGACCTAAAGAAGTTCCAAAACTATGAAATGTCTAGAAAAAACTAGGAGAAAATCTTTGTGACATTTGGGTTAGGCATATGCTTCTTTGAAAAGACACAAAAAGCATGAAGCATAAAAGAAAATATTGATAAAATGGGCTTCCTCATGGTTAACAACGTTTGCTAAAGAGGCAGAAATACGAAAAGTCAAGTCAGACCAGGAGAAAATTTTGCAAACCATATGGAGAAAGGCCGTGTTCACACAAAGTGTAAACAACTCTTATAGCTCAATAAGAAAACAACTCACTTAAAAAATGGGAAGAGATTTTATCGGGTATCTGCACTGCAAAAGAAGATATGAGAATGGCTAATTAGCACACGAGAAGATGTTTGACATCACTGTCGTCAGAGAAGTGCATGTTAAAAGCAATTGCAATACGTCTGTGCAACCACTAGAATGGCTAGTTAAAAAGCACTGACAGTATTAAGAATTGGCAAGTTTGTGGAGTCTTTCAGTCTGCTCCAACTTCCGTAGCAAAATAGCGTAGACTTGGCTGCTAAAGAACGGAAATTTATTTCTCAGAGTTCTGGAGGCTGGAAGTCCAAGATCAAGGTGGTGGCCAATTCTTTTTCTGGTGGGGGGCACCCTTTCTGGCTAGCAGATGGTTGCTTTCTGGCTGTGTCTTCACATGGCCTTTCCTTTGATCACGTGGAAGGAGATAGTAAACTCTCTAGTGTCTCTTCTTAAAATGTCATGAATCCCATCATACCAGGGACCCACCCTCATGACCTAATCTAAAACTGATTTTATCTCCCAAAAGCCCCATCTCCAAATGCTATCACATTAGGGGTTAGGGCATCAACGTGCATTTTGAGGGAAAACACAAACATTTAGTCCGTGACATAGAACAACTAGAATTCACATACATTGTGTGTGGAAATGAAAGCAGTACAGCTACTTTAGAAAACAATGTGGAAGTACCACATTGTTAAAAACATATTTAGTATATGAATTAGAAAGTCCATTTCTAGTTATTTACCCAAGAGAAGTGAAAATAATATGTGTCCAGAAAAGGACACACACATGAATGTTCATAGTGACATTATTCAAATAGCCTAAACCTGGAACCCAAACGTTAGTTGACCGAATAAGTAAACTGAACAAGAGATTGTACTGTATCCATACTACTAAATACAATGAAGCAATAAAACACTACAAAATACCACCAGACCCAACACAGATGAATCTCAAAAGCATTCTAAGTAAAACACATCAAACACGGAAGATTATATACTATGTGAATCCATTTATATGAAATTTTAGAAAAGGCAAAAACTACAGTGAGAGAAAGCAGGTCAGTGGTTAAGGGTGAGGGAAGGGGATAAGGGAAAGGGTATGAGGACATTTTTAAGGGTGAGAAAACTCTATCTTTTTATGGTGCTGGTTGCAAGATTGTATGCAATTACCAAATTCATCAAACTATACTTAAAAAGATTGAATGTAATTTATATATAAATAATACCTTAATGAAAAGAGAAGAAAAATGGATTAATGAAGTTTATAAAACCTAGAGAAAATAAAAGGTATTACATATCATAAAATTAGCGTATAAAATCAGTTCATGTTTTGTTGCACAGTGTTATGGCACAACTATTTTCACTTAAGACTCTCTGACACATGTAAATAATTTCTCATTCTTGTGTCTCAAATGGGAGAAGAAGAGGAATAATGTTCATGTATGCTTGTGTGTGTGTATATAGTCACATAGTCATACATACATAATTTCTGACTATGTTAATGACATACATTTTATAGCTTACTCTTAATAATGTTTTAAATTTATTGGCTCATAGAGAACATTGTAACATTTTTCCGAATGCCTTTAACTATGTATGATTACCTCTAAATTACCTTTATTTTCATCAATGGAATCATCACACAGGGAGCTGACTAACTGGCTTTTCATGTCTTATTCTTACCCTTCTCAGTTATGCTCTTGTGAAGGTTTTTATAAATGCTTTGGCTTTGTTGTAGTGAATAGATTTCTATCTATACTGTGAAATGTTTACCAAGCCTAATAGAAAATTGTATTGATTTTTGAATGAGGATTTAAGCTATCACTAATTTGTATAAGAAAAATAAATGAGCAAAAAATATAAATAACTTTATGTTGTTATGCTGCTACATGAACACAGCACAGCATATCTTACATACAACAGAGTATAATATCTTTATCTAAAATCTCAAGTTTTACAACTAAACATAATGACTCTTGAGAAAGAAATTCTGGAGAACTCTCTTAATAATTCTTAAGATTGATACTTGTTAGTGTGTCCTGTGAATGCACACAGGTAAATGTTTCTTTGGTTCCCTTGAGATTTGACTCCTTTGCTTGATGTATTAGAATTTGTAAATGCAATTTGGAAACCCTCTGAAGGCTAAGTATCTGAATGAAAACTCATCAAATACCTTGGTTAATTTGAAGATGTAACATTTGCAAGATGATCTCTAGAATGATGTAACAAGCCTTTTTCTTTTTCAGTTGGAATCCACAGGACTTGGCCTTAGTAGTAGTAGACTAAGAACAACTCTAAACAGAATACAAGAAAGCCTTATTGATCTAGTAAGTAATGAATTGGAATATATTCTTTTGGATTATATAAAATGCAAATTAGCTATTCAATCAATTTTGTATAAATGTGTCTATATGTATATTGAGTAGCGGAGTCCTCAGAATTAAATGAGTGCATATAGGAAGTAAAACATTGCTTATAGTCTGATCAGAGAGAAACTAGTATACATAAAAGAATATGATATTGGTCATATGTCTAGCACAAGTTCAAAGAAGAGAAAGGTTTATGTGAAAAACTAATATCAGAGGAGGACTAAAGGAAGAAGTGACACTTGTGCTAGACTTCGAAGACCAGGCATAGGATTAATGGGAAAGGGAAAAGTCTTTAAATTAAGGTACACAGGGTGAGCAAGGGCCTTGAGGTGGGTGCAGTACGAAGTTTGACAGATCTTAGGATTGGGACACTGGTATATGCTGCAAAGTTAGGTTGCATTGAGTGTTTGGGACACTTTATAAATGCCTTTGAAATTCAAGGAGAAAGTTTGGGTTTAGTTGCTGTGTAGTAGGGAGCCCGGTTTTTGACTATCATCATAGGATGAAATGCATGTTTTAAGAAGACAGGTTAGATAGCAGCACAGGGTTGACCTCCTGTAGTGTTTCAGCTAACATAAGCATTTAAAATGAGAAAAACTTTCTCATGGTTGGTCACTGTAGCCCGAAGTTTATGTTGTTTAGACGTTTCTCCACATCTATTTTAACCCCAGGCTTCTCTGAATTTTCCTTTATTCCTTCAACCTAACACGAACAAGCAATCATTTTCCTCATTTTTCATAAGCTCTACATTATGTGCATACTTCTGTTATTGAAGCTTTTTATAAAGCCATGATTATTCTTTTAAGGAATACTTGTTGTAACAATTGGTATATGCCAGGCATTGTTATAGAGCTGGGAATTCCATCAGTGCACAGAAGAGATATTTCCTGTCTTGGAACTTGTATTTTATTGGAGCAGAGAGACAAACAAATGTATAACATAGTGTCAGATACTCATTGAATACTAAGACAAAACTGAAGCAGTGATAGGATGGGGATCTTGAGCAGAGCTGCGAATAAAGTGAGTGAGGCATGTGCTGATATCTCAGGTGAGCGCTGTTTGGGCAGAAGAAATAACTGGTATCCTTCTCTCTTAACATTTGGAGATCCTTTTACCCAACATATTTTTAAAAATATAGTCATATCACTTACCTTGGCACATAGCATTGCTTCAGTAAATGTTCATAGAGTAGATGAATATACTCCAGTCCCTTAGTGTCTTGTTTCTTGGCATAACTTGGCTTGTTTCCTTGGTTATGATATTTGTTTAATCCTTGATCTTCA